TGGGTCTTTGATGCTGCATGGGCTTTTCTCTGGTTGTGGTGTGCGGGGGCCACCCTCTAGTAGCCCCCGCAGTGCGTGGGCTTCTTATTGAGGTGGCTTCTCTTGTGGCTCTGGGGGCGCGAACTTAGTCGTTGGGGTTCTCAAGAGCCCGGGCTTCAGTAGTTGTGGCGCATGGGCTTAACTGCTTCACAGCACGTGGGATCTTCTTGGATCAGGCATCAAACCTGCGTCCTCTGCACTGGCAGGCGGTTTCCTAACCACTAAGCCGTCAGGGACACCCTAGAGGAGATGCTTAACCCAAGTTTTTTGTGCTTTTCTGCTTTATCTGATGTTTATGTTTCATGGGTGAAATACCCATCTCAGTTGTACTTGACCTGGAGGCTCGTATGGGGCTTTCTTGCATGTTTCTGCAGGGTCTAGCTTGCAGGGCACATGGATTCATGGTTAAGGTTTCTGATTAATATTTTAGAGGGAAAAACTCAAACTTTCAGGAACAGAGCAAAGTCTGGTTAGCTAAAAATCTCTGCAATAAACAAGGACAGTGATAGATGGATGTGTTTCCATCTTTTCTGGGAAGGAAAGGAAAACACTCCTTCATCTGGTTTGCGGTGTAGCTGGAGACAGGTGAGGCAGACAATTGAGGGAAAGTTTCATGGTTTATTATTCAGTACGCTAATTCGATTTGTTTGGTTCTTAGGAGCAATTGTGAACTTTTAGGAGGGGAAAATAAAGCGACTCAGGGAATTAAATGAGTAAAAACTGGAGATCAGTTGAAAGAGGAGAAAAGAACAGGGAGGGAGGCTGCTGAAGAGGTTCCTGTGTATATGCTTAAGTTATTTCTGTGAATATGGAAATAACTTATATTCCAAACAATACTGAGAAATTGGAATAAATTAATTCTCCAGGTGGCAACTGGAGTGCCTTTTTTCACATTTATCTTTGAATTTTCGGAGCTTAGCTCAGAGTTGTCACATTGTAATCAATAAATAAATGCCCACTGAATGAATTATTGACTGATAAAGGCTGAAAGATTGTGAGAGGTAAGTTATAATTTCCTTACATATCCGAACCTTAAGCTTAACGCATGGGAAGGACAAGAGCCTGTGACAGAGGTGGTCACTTGCTGTTGTTCAGTCACTAAATCGTGCACGACTTTGGAGTGGGTTACCATGCCCTCCTCCAAGGGATCTTCCTGACTCAGGGATTAAACATGCATCTCTTACATCTCCTGAATGGGCAGGTGGGTTCTTTACCACTAATGCCACCTGGGAAGCCCTTTTGTTTCCAGGTGCAACTCCAACCTGAGTACCTGGAATGCCGCCCTGATGTAAATTAGATGATCAGTAAGAGCTAGCTGAGTGTCTGACTTAATGGTGCTTTTTCCTCCCTGGCAGCTGGTAACCTAGCAACATTTGAAAGGCAGCTGGATAATTCTGGGTCATGTGAGAATTCAGATTCATATTAAAAGAGATTGGAGCCTGAGCACAGGGCAGATGGATCATTTCTCTAGAGAGCTCTTTTCCTTGACTGTGTCATGAAATACCACAGCAACGTTTTTGTGGTATGCTGTGCTGGTCTCTGTGTGATGGCATGAAATCTCACCTCGCCAGATGTTAGAAAAATGAAAGATATTCAGAGAGACAGACAACTGAGGTGCCCTCATAGCCAACACAGTCTGACCCCAAACTCAGCCTTTTGATATAAAGCAGAGGTTCCCCGCCCCCACCTGGGTTTTCTCAGTGGCTCAGACAGTAAAGGATCTGCCTGCAATGCAGGAGACCTGGGTTCAATTCCTGGATCAGGAAGATCCTCTGGAGAAGGGAGTGGCTACCCACTCCAGTATTCTTGCCTGGAGAATTCCATGGACAGAGGAGCCGCCATGGACAGAGGCGGGCTACACAGTCCATGGTCACAAAGAGTCAGAGAAGACTGAGAGACTAACACACACTTCTCTGGACGTATTTTCATTCAGCCACAGAATCTTGTAAACATCAGTGAAATGATTCTTTGGTTGACGTGCAAACAGCAAGCAAAGATGCCTGATGACAAATGCAGACCAAAGTCTTTTTTTTTTAAACCGAAGTCTTTTGAATGAGAGTTTCTAAGTTTCAGACTTGAAACAATTTCTTTATGATGGTGTGAAATAGACTGGTGAATTCTCAGTTGTTTGTACATGCTCCCAAGCCTGGAGGGCTGACCAGTGAGCATCTGACAGTGCTTCCCATGGTAAAATTAATCACAATTTATGGACTATTTCTCCAAATACAGATATTTGATTTTTCTTTGACTTTTTTTTCCATTTATTTTTATTAGTTGGAGGCTAATTACTTTACAATATTGTAGTGGTTTTTGCCATACATTGACATGNAGGTTCAAGTTTATATTTGTCTTAAAAATACCCCTGTGATGTAGAATGCAGATGTCCATTCTGCAAACTCTCAGATTTCCTGCAGTCCTTTTATCTACACCCGGTTCTTTATTCAAAGTCAGGTATCTCTTTAATACAGGTTTCCTTTTTCCATTTTTTTTCTTTTTAAATACTTTTTAAAAAAGTATGAGGACTTCCCTGGTGGTCCAGTGGCTAGGAGTGCATGCTCCTAGTGCAGGGAGCCTGGGTTCAATCCTTGGTCAGGGAATTTATTAATAGATCCCACATGCCCCAACTAAAGACCTGGTATAGTCAAATAAATAATAGTTCAATAAATTAAAAAAAATTGAGGCATAGTTGATTTACATTGTTTCAGGTGATTCTTAGGTTATTATAAGATATTGAATATAGTTCCCTGTGCTATACAGTAGGTCCTTGTTGTTTATTTTATGTATAGTAGTGTGTGTATGTTAATCCTAAATTCCAAATTTATCCCTTCCCTGCTTACCCCTCTGGTAACTAGCTTGTTTTCTATGTCTGTGAGTCTATTTCTGTTTCATAAATAAGTTCATTTGTAGCTTTCTTTTTTTTTTAGATTCCACATATAAGTGATACTATACAGTACTTGTCTTTTTGTCTGACATTTCATTTATTATGATAATCTCTAGGTTGATCCATGTTGCTGCAAATGACATCTTTTTTCATTCTTTTTCTTATGGCTGAGTAACATTCTATTGTATATATATATGCATCGCATTTTTATCCATTCCTCTGTCAGTGGACATTTAGGTTGTCTTCATATCATAGCTATTTTAAATAGTGCTGCTGTGAATACAGCGGTGCGTGTATCTTCTTGAATTGTAGTTTTGTCCAGATACATGCCCAGGAGTGGGAATGCTGGGTCATATAGCAACTCTTAATGTTTTGTTTTTTAAGGAACCCGTCCGTATTGGTTTCCTCAGTGGCTGCAGCAATTTATAATCCACCAGCAGTATTAAGAAGGTTCCCTTTTCTCTACATCCTTTCCACTATTTATTATTTGTACAATACAGATTTTTTCTTAATAGCATTTTAAACCTAAAGAACTCATGAATTAAGAGAATATAAAAACCAAAAAAACTCTTGAACTGTGAAAAATAAAAAGTGTTCTTTGAGTTCTGATGATATTGCAAATGTAGCAATGCTATATTTTCCTTTACTGCTGGAGTCAAATGCAATTTTCTGTTTTTCCAGTGGAAGGAATTATTGTAATTCCTTCCAGCTTTGGACCACATCTGATATCAGGAGTATTTTGCCAGAGTCAGCACGGAGTTCATGGCTATGCTCTTGGGCTATAATGAAGACACGCTCCTCTGTTCAGTGAGTGGAACCATTAGCTAGAGACTAACAATATAACTGTGAACTTGGGAATGGTGTTGGCAGATATGACTTGGGTGAAGGGGCAATTTTATGTTTCTCTATTCTCTGCAATTGAGTCAAACTGAGCATTTTCATCTGAAAGCAACACCAGGTAGTTTATTTAATCTTTAGAACTTAAAAAAGTTAATGTAAAAATCTTTAAAACTTTAAAAAAAATCTTTAAAACTTAGTTTCTTCATCTATAAAATAGAATAATACCAACTTCTTAGAGCTGTGGCTTTAAAATATATAAAGAATGTAAAGCACTTGGCCTAGCATCTGTGTATCATTGAATCATTGTATCATTGAATAAATGGTATAAATGCACCTGTACAGAAGTTTGAGGAAACAGTGCCTAAGTGTGAAATTAGATGTGTTTCAATAATGGTGAAAAGAAGCACTGATTTAGTAAATAGTGTTTCCAGGTTTATTGCCAGCAATTAGATTGAAAATTCTAGATGTCCTGAAGCCTGCAGTCATGTCTTCTGAGTTTCTCTTTGGGGATATTTATTTTATGACACTTTGGAGACAACATAACATTTCTGTTAACACACTGAATATGGTTATTACAGTTGAATAAAAACCAGTTTTATACATTTCGTTTATGCATAAATTAAAAAAGTTTACCTAGACTATTAGGTTTGACTTTTACTGTATTCAGGATACATTTTATTTTAGCAAGAATTGGTTTGACTTTATAATAGAGGTAATTAAGAGAGCTGATTTATTTACTGAGATTTTGGTGTGGTAAATTTTGTGAGAATCACTATCTTCTGTATGAATAATGACAAGGATAAAGGAAAAAAGAAAACCTTTTGCATAGTTTATTTTGCTTTGATTATCTGATCTTCATATGTTGTAGTAAATGTTGTCATTTACAAATCCTGACATTTGATATGCTATTATATATTTATATATCATATATGAGTATATCAGAATATATGCATGCATATATATGTAATAAAGGCTTCCTGGATGGCTCAGTGGTTGAAGAATCTGCCTGCCAAAGCAGGAGAGCGGGTTCGACTGGAGAAGGGCCTGGCAGTCCACACTAGTATTCTTGCCTGGATGCTCCCATGAGCAGAGGAGCCTGGTGGACCACAGTCCAAGGGGTCACAGAGTCAGACCCAACTGAGCGACTGAGAATATATCTAATAAAGTATATAATTTCAGGAGCACTTATGGTCCAAGCAGGTGGAAACGAAACCTGAGTAGTTTCAGATAAAAAACTCACTTGTGGGGGGCGGGTGTTGGGGGGTCCAGGCAGCGGCGGGAGGCGGCCATGAGGAGGCGGTTTACCGAGACCTCTGGGCGGAGAGTTCTCCTCTCTCCCCTGCCGCGGAAGCCGTGAGGGCGCCGGGACGCGAGCTGCGGTGGGTCGGGAGGACTATCTGTGCGGAGGGGTGCCCGGCGTACCGGCTGCTGGGGAGGAGGGGAGATGCGGCCGGGCGGAGGGCCGAAGGGCGGCCTAGGGTAGGGCCGTGGGACGGACAGGATGGCGCGGCCTGGCCGCTGGCGGTGACCAGGCGCTTTCCGCGGCTCGGCCTCCACACCGAGCGGGCCTCCTCTCCGCTCGGTCTCCGCTTCGAGCGGTGCGCGCCACGATCCAGTGGCCGAGGAGTCCTGCCGGAGAGAGATGCCACCATCGCCATCGCGCTCTCTCGGCCCCCGCCCACCCGCATGTGTGTGTGCTGGCGGTAGGAGGTGGGATGCGGGCGGCCGGGCTTTTTGGTGGAGGCCTTTGTGGGCCTGGGCACGTGGGGCGGGTCTGGCCATGCGGCCCCCGGCCCGCGCCGCCGTGAAGCGGGCCTTACTTCTTTCTCCTTTCCTCGCAGTAACATCGCGATGGCTGCCCAAGGAGAACCCCAAGTTCAGTTCAAAGTAGGTAACGCTCGTGAGTTGTGGGTGTGCTGCAGTGAACACGAAGGGCTCTGAAGGAGAGGCAGCTTTGGCGGGGGCATTCTAGTCTAGACGGTCTTATTTGCAGTATCTCCTTTATGACCGCAGGCGCGTACGGACGGCCTGCTTCGTCAGCCAACGTGCTCGTGCTGCGGCAGTGCCTTCGGTCCCCCGATAACGAGATGGGGGTGCTGGCCCCACCCTGCGGACAGGGAAGCAGGGCTCAGAAAGTTTCGCTGATTCAAGTCGTTCGTTAGATGGGACAGGGCCGCTTGGTTAAGGTTCTTTGTTGTACATGTATTTAGGTAGTATATGAACTTTAGTTGTGTAAGTTAAATTGTGCAGAAAATCTTAACAGCGTCATAATCCTGGGGTCCTGAAGTGTTACATGTTTTGGCGTGTACTTAAAAAATTTGGTTTCCGACAGCTTGTTTTGGTTGGTGATGGTGGTACTGGAAAAACTACATTCGTGAAGCGTCATCTGACTGGTGAATTTGAGAAGAAGTATGTAGGTATGTGGGGGGAACCATTTGTGGACATGTGTGTAAAATATTTGCGTTCCATTGACTAACTTGCAATCCCTATGTTCCAGCTACCTTGGGTGTTGAGGTCCATCCTCTTGTGTTCCATACCAACAGAGGACCTATTAAGTTCAATGTATGGGATACAGCTGGTCAGGAGAAATTTGGTGGACTGAGAGATGGCTATTATATACAAGGTAGGTATCTGATTTGTAACAAGTTTTTGAGAGGATTTGTAGCTTAGTCTCCAGCGTTACTTAGGAATAGATCTACTCAAGTAAAGACGTTGGTAATGCCGACTGAATTGGAAATTGTGTGATTCAGTTCAATTCAAAACATGTACTGACTCCAGGGAGTTGACCATTTGAGGGGAGGAAAATTTTGTGAAGGTTGTCTTGTGCCATTTGATTGATTAGATGCTTGTGTCATGATAGGCCCTGTTTTGAAATACACTGTATAGTTTAAGTTGAGGTTCTTAATTTGAAGACAGTAAGCAACGGACAGCTGTTGCTACAGCTTCAGTAGAAGTTTATGTTTGGGCATATGTTTGGTGGTTATCAATAATTATTTCTTGTGCATTCTGTTAAAAAGGAGTGAACCATTTGATGGGCTTCCTTGGTGGCATAGTGGTAAAGAACTCGTCTGCCAATGCAGGAGACACAAGTTCGATCCCTGGGTCAGGAAGGAAATGACAAAACAGTCCAGTTTTCTTGCCTGGGAATTTCCATGGACAGAGGATCCTGGTGGGCTAGTCCATGGGGTTGCAAAAGAGTCAGACATGACTTATGGACTAAGACAACGACCTATTTGATACTGGGCCAGAGGAGCTAGGCTTTCTATCTTAGAAAATGCTGTTATAAGACCAGCTGATTTCTCTTTAATTGTACTAGATTTTGCAGAGTATTTTTTTGAAAATGCTTGATTTTAAATTTAAAAAGGCAAAGTAAATAAATGCTTGTTAAACTGAGTGAAAAAGATGAACAGAAAATACTCACGTAACACTCTTGCTCATTTGATGAAAATTGTTGGGAATCTTTCCATGTCTTTTGCTTTTACTTGAGTGCATACAAATGCAAGGGTCTTCTCCCCTCCCCCATCCCCAAATTCTTTAGTTAAAAAATCCATAATATATTATGCTAAGCAGCTTTATCATGGCTGTGTTTTTCAAAGGATAGATTTCTAGATACTCAGAATATGGGAGGTGAATTCTGAAATGGTGGTGTTATCATTGATCGACTTTAGATACATTCTGAGGCTGAGATAGTTTATGAAGTATTGTAGATGGAAAGATTAAATAGATACGGTAAGCATTTTTCTTTAGTAAATTTACAGGCATGTACTGATCACTGTAAATATTTCTTTCAGCTCAATGTGCCATTATAATGTTTGACGTAACATCAAGAGTTACTTACAAGAATGTGCCTAACTGGCATAGAGATCTGGTACGAGTGTGTGAGAACATCCCAATTGTGTTGTGTGGCAACAAAGTGGATATTAAGGACAGAAAGGTTAAGGCAAAGTCAATTGTCTTCCACCGAAAGAAGAATCTTCAGGTATGTTTCTTAAAGCGTATAGAATTACAATCCTTTAGTTAAAATTATGATGCAAGTCCATTAAAGTGATTTGTTAATGTGTTTGATGTATGGGTTTTTAAAATTAACTTACCATTCTTTTAAACAGTACTATGACATTTCTGCCAAAAGTAACTACAACTTTGAAAAGCCCTTCCTCTGGCTTGCTAGAAAATTGATTGGAGACCCTAACTTGGAGTTTGTCGCCATGCCTGCTCTTGCCCCGCCAGAGGTGGTCATGGACCCAGCCTTGGCAGCACAGTACGAGCACGATTTAGAGGTATGGTGTTTATGTCTCAGTGATGAGCGCTTTTAGATTCCTGGTGCTTTTCATCTGGAGTGTTGTAACATTTCCATCTCTTTGTGTAGGTTGCTCAGACAACTGCTCTCCCGGATGAAGATGATGACCTGTGAGAAAGTGAAGCTGGGGCCCAGCGTCAGAAGTCTAGTTTTATAGGCAACTGTCCTGTGATGTCAGTGGTGCAGCGTGTTTGCCACTTTATTATATAGCTAAGCAGAACATGTGCTTAATCTTTGGATGCTGAAGGAGATGGATGGGCTTTGGAGTGAATGTGGCAGTTTAAAAAAAAAAAAAAACCTTCATTTTTTGGACCTGCATATTTAGGTGTTTTGGAACACAGTTGTTTCCTCCTTGAGTTTCAAATATAAGACTGCTATAGTCACATGACAATATTGAGAGGTGGAATCTTGTTTGTTACTGTCATTCCCATTCCTTTTCGTTTAGAATCAGAATAAAGTTGTATTTCAAATATCTAAGCAAGTGAACTCATCCCTTGTTTAAATGAGCATTTTAAAACCGCTAACAGGGAAAGTTGTGCCATGTTACTATTTGAATTGCCTTTGCTATTACCACTTAACTTGATGTCAATTAGGTTACATGCTCCTAGTTTTTTGTATACTTGAATCATTTCACATAAACGTAATGACAAGTCAACAGTATTGTATTTGATAAGAGGTGTAAGTACTATCAATAGTTAGGCTAAAATAACACCAACCCCACCTGCCTTTGGGCTTAGGTAGTGTCACCTAGGGGTGAGATTTATGTGACCTGTCAAAGGTAGTACCTGTTTCAGATGTTTCAAACAAATAATTATATTTGCATTTTATGGCAGAAGTAACCATTTTCTAATGTAGAGCTTGTCAAAGTCCAATGAAATCATAACAGATGGTTGCAGGAACTTGAGGGACATCTCATCTGTTAAATATGAATATAATTGTACATTTACTTTTTTGTTTTTTGATGTTATATGTTTAATGTAAAGTTGGCATTCTAGGAAGATGGTCCATGTTTACCTGCTGTTAAATACTCCCAAGCTTTAAAGGTTATCAAAGATTAAGGATTTCAATGGATATATCACAGCTTTGGTGATTTTTCTCTCCCCAAAGAATTTTTCTGGGTGGTGCAAGAACACCACAGGATGCTGCAGCATAAAAGTAGGTCTTAGGTAAGCCTCTCAGTGATGTGAACAGATTGCCAAACTTTCAATAGATCAACCACTTAACGTTGTATGGTTTCTACATGTAAACATGAATTGGGTCTGTCTTGCCTGAGTTTGATCTCACTGACACCATACTGTAGCAATTAGAAATCAAGACGAGCTGTTTTCCTCTTGTAAGTACTACTGTACTATAGTTCAGTTTACCAAAGTTCTTTAGATGTCCACTTATCCTTAAATGATTACTTTCCTACCTAGAAGTAGGGAAGGACCCCTTTTAAGTATATGGGAAAATGGACTGTAAAGGGTAAAATTGGATACATTTTAATTTGTTAAAATATTGAATAAATATTAATAGATTCACTTACAGATTTGAATTGATGTATATGCTATGCTATATTCAGTTCAGAACCAGACTTTAACAGATATGAAGTTTCCCATGATCAGATGAAATCTTTCATTGAGATACATGAGGGATATTTATTTGTAACCTTATGTAGAATGCCAGTATGATACTCTGAAGCCTAAATGTAACAGTAAAATTTTGGGAGCTACTTGGAGGTGGGAGAGAAATTGAGTCATTCTTGGAAGAAAATTGCAAAATATACTGCTTCTACTTTGCCTGGATTTTCTGGATCATCTGGTGTTAATTACCTTGTGGGGGATGCATTTCTCTGTCCAGTTCAGACAAATGGGGAAATTTCCCCTTCAATTTCAAATCTGGTGTGTAACGGGAGGAGCCTGCAGTTGAAAGCCAAGTTGGTATTAGCTTATTAAAACTGGTAAAAGTGAACATAAAATGTTTCTGAAAGCAGTTTTGTGATGTTCCTTGGTCAATTTTTAAGAAACCCTTTTGGTCCTATTGATCTCAGTATCTAGGAAGGGGCAGAGATTTCCAAAAATGTATTAGAGTCGCAAAGACCAATTTCCTGGCTGCTCTTGTGTGTGCATCAGATTCTCATAGAATTTGTTGTTTTCTTTTGTAAAGAAAAATGACTTCAAGAAATAGTAATGACTCAGAAATGAAAAAAAAAAAAAAGAAATAGTAATGAGCACGTGGGTTAAAATTGGTTTGAGTTGCTAGTTGTACATCTGAAACTGACCTTGTCTTTTGAAGATGCCTTCACCTGTGTTGTGGCTGCAGGCATCCTTGGTAGAACAACTTGGGATGCATCCTAAAATCACGTGACAGGCAAGCACTGCTAACAAAAGGCTATGTGTGTTAACCTGCAAACCTAAAGCTGTTTTGGGGATGAAAAGACCCTGGTTGTTTGTATCACTAGTTAGGGCTCTGAGTTATCCTCGGCAGCTCTGCCTGCTAGGTCCCTGTCATTCCAGGCTTTAGTTTTTTTCCAGAACCTGTACCTACTGAAGTAAACTTGATAAGTGCTGC